GGTAAAGGCTGCAGAGAAGAACAACTCAGTTTATGATAATGAATTACTGGCAATGATAAAAACTCTTGCCAAGTTCAGAGTCCACCTACTTGGCTGAAAGCCTCTGGTGATCTTTACAGATCATGCGTCGTTACACACTGCGACACAGTCGCCTCACCTCTCCAACTGTATGGCCTGTTGGCTTTCTTTCTTTGAGGGTACAACATCGAGGTGAAGAATAAGTCCGGCAAACAAATGCCTTGGCTGGTGCGCTATAGCGTCGACCTGACTATGAGCTTGCTTATGTTACAGCACTGTCGTCATCAGTAGACTTAATCCGTGCGGTTTATGCTAAGAAATAACAATGTGTAGCTTTGCTACGGGCTCTTGGAAGCGATGAGTTTAAAGAATCGGACATATAATTGTCGGCACGTTAACGTGCGAGGCTACATCAATATTACATTGATAATGGCCTGTTGTGCTATCCCACGAATATTGAGGATACCCCTCGTATCGCTGTTCCTCATAATGAGATGTTGAGGCATCGAATCCTTTATAAGGCACGTGATACTGCTTTTTGAGCGGTCATCTCGGTCGTGAGAAGACACAAAGATCAATTTTCCGAGCGTATTAGTGGCCCAAATTGTACAAAGGGGTGATCACCTATGTGCGTACGTGTGAAAAGTGTCAACGGGTCAAACTCTCAGCACATGCGGCTGCGTCACGAGCTAGTCTGCCTGTACCCTAGGTGTTGAGAGTCCATGAGTATGGATTTAGTGTTCGGACTACCGAAGGATTTGGATGACAACGCTGGTACTGTGGTATTAGTTGACCGTTTGAGCAGAATGGATCGTTTAGCGGCTGTGCGATCAATACTGAAGGCACGGCTAAGCTGTTTATCGATCGTGTACTTCGACAACATGGTTTCTCTGTGTCAATTGGCTCTGGTAGAAATCCCCGCTCCACTAGAGTATTTTGTAAGTCAATCTTTAAGGTGCACGGCACCCGATTGGACATGTCGACGGCAGATCATCCGCAGACCAATGGCTAAACTGAGCGTGTTAATCGCGTCATTAATGGCATTTTGCGCAGTGATTACGCTTATACGCCACGGCATTGGATATCAATGCTTCATGTTGTTGAATTTGCGTTGAACAACGCTGTTCATGCCATTACAGGATTTACTCCGTTTTACGTAAACGGTCACACCCACCCTCGCGTTCCGCTAACGCTACCACTCTGTGGTTCTGGTCTTGATGGGGGTAGAATAGCCGATCGGCTTGCTGATATCGGCCCAACAACTGTTAAAACACAGTTAGGCGAGTTCCTCGCAAAGCGATTGAATGTCTACAACATGTGCGTTACGCAATGGCTGATACCCAAGATCAGCAAGAACAACAGGCTGATCCCTAAGGCAGAAATTGTTTAGTTAGTTATGAAGTTAAAGACCTAGTCTTACTTAACGCTGATGATTTACCTAATAAATTGGTATCAGCGGTCTATAAGACCAAGCTGCGTCCTAGCTCCATTGAATTGTCTACATTTGTGGCCAAGAAGAGCCTATTGTATATGCTCGACCTCCCACACAGGATGAGAACACACCCAGTGTTTTACGTCGGCTTGATTGAGATTTACCTTGATCCGTCGCTGGTGGATACAGGCGCTTACGCTGAAGAATTTGGCGACGCCACAAGTCGAGGAAACCTTAAGAGAAGACCCGATTGTCTTCAAGACGCGCCACTCGGTCACGCAGACCGTGCACCTCGTGCACTAACTCGTCGAAGACGCGTCGAGATTCACTTGCTATTGCGTGCTCTCATTTATGAGCATTAACATTAACAGTACCAAGGTGTACAAATCCTACAGCGACGTCGTCGTGACGGTCAGTACCAGCACCTGGCACAGTGGCGATGTGCCCGGAGTCGGAGAACTCATGGGAGTACGAAGTGCCACTACGGCAGGATTGTCCATGTGTTATGGACGTTTAAACGTCGTCTTTAGGTTCAGTCGACCCATAACGCTCCCCACTAGTCGGTGCGGGAGTGGAGGGGTTTTAAGCTGATGCAGGTGCACTGATGTGCGGTTCCATAGCTGTCGCATGATAGTGGGTGCGATACAACGATCGCAGTTGGCCTTCGGCTTTTTGTGTGTTTCAAAGAGCAGCTTTCGTTCAAGCTGGACGTCAGCAAGTGAAATGATCTTTTGAAAAATATAAAGATTTGGCAGACGGCAAGATCTGTTATTTCAAAGCGTAAAGACGACATCATTTTTCGCCCTCGTCTCGCCAGCGAAGAGAACGACGGTACTATCCGCATGGTGAACACTGACGCACCTCGAGCTTGCAAATTTAGTCTGTAGAGATAATCTTGAACGGTCATACACTCGAACCCCAGGTATTTCGCTCTGAGCCGCATTCTTCTCCGCGAATGCTGTGGCTGTTGCAGCCGTGGCTCCTTTGACCCATGTTGCGGGTGACTTCCCGGCAGCCTAGCGAATGCGTTCATCCACACTCGGTGATGTAAAGTGGTATCCACTGTGAGCATACGCTGTAGCTACACATTGGGTTTTACGCCTGAGGTCATCGACTGACTGAAGATATTGATCTTGATCTTCATCAAGTATGTCGTGCAACACAACTAGCGCATGGTCGACGGCTGCACGCTGCGCAAGGGTTAAAATCACCTCCTTGCGTTCCACAAGTTGATTAGGCGCGATGCGCGCGATGTCACGCACCGGTGGCGTAGCTGGAGGTGGTCGTAGACACTCGACGCGGCAGTGTCATTCACATAGTCCACCACATCCTCTTCGAGGAATTTCTCAAGTGTGTTGGGCGAAGGATTTCACTCAGTCATTTATAGATGGTTGTGAACACGATGGTCAAGGAAAAGAGCTTTAGGACCTCAAAGATCATCAGAAGAATTGCCGAAACAAATTTGTCGACAGATTGATAGGGAAGTGTTTTACGGGGTTAAACGTGGTTATTTGAATTGGTTATGTTGTGTGTCCACATTAAGTAAAGATCGGTGGATCTTAGTGGTGCATTCTTGGTACCACGTACTTACGGTGATACCGCACCCTATCGAGTAGGAGTAAGGGGTGAGACTTTGGTCATAGGATCGCAATGTAGAATTCAGTGATATAGAGTTTAAGGGATTTAAAAACCATAGTTAAAGAGTACACAAAGTTTAGTTCCCGTTTTGAATCGTTGAACACTAGTGCCTAGTCAATGTGTAGCGGAGCTACACAGCTCCTAAAGTCAAAGGAAGACTTTACGCTCAACGAGAAACTTAGCTTTAAGAACCTAGACTCAATGAGTCAACAAGCGTAGATCTTATGGACCTTGTTCTAGGGGACCAAACGATTCTGTGATTCGACAGCACTTAGTGCTCACGAGTAACTAGCTACCTCAAGGAGGTGTTGCTAACTCTTAGTGATCAATGGTCAACGACCAAAGACGCCTCGCAAGGCACGTGTATTCAAGATCAAAAGGGGAACTAAATTTTATTTACATTTGACCCTACAGAATATCTTAATCCTAATTTGAACACTTATGTCCTAAGTTTGTACAACTAAGATCTCTCTTATCTAGTGGCTGACACCAGTCATCCCCAATAAACCGATATGATATTCTATGTCTCTTTCAGTGGGATGTCATCCGTGTGTCTAAGACACAGGGTACCAGCTACCCTGTACGTGTAACATGTACCCTGTACGTGTAACCCCTTTACACAATACGTAGTGTGTTGTTTAGAGTATCAGCCTCGTAAAGACGCTTGATCTCGTTAATTAGTAGTGACTAGTTAGTGTGTGATTCTGTGAATCGTAATCTCTTTGGAACCAGGATTATAAGCCTTGTGCGTTTAAACAATTGTACGTAAGCTATTTGAAACTAAGAGACTATTTGAGTCTAAGACCTCCTCTGTTAAGGAACGATAAGTAGCTCCGCTACAAAATGTGAGAGCCCGTTCTCCGGCTCGACCACCTAGTTTCGAGATGGCCATCACAAATCGCTGTTGCTCCGATTGGAGCGTAGCGGAGTTCATGGCTATTCCGACCTATATAGTTCACAGGAGGATATTCTTCCCTAATTTTTCCTCAAACGTCTTTAAATTTTAGACAAAGGGAGAGCTTTTGGCTCTTCATCGGGTACGGGGATATACCGAGTAGGCATAGCCGATGCCTAATGTTCGTGTACTTGCCCAATTAACGTGGAATCAAGTTGCATGAAAGTGTCAAGACGTGCACGAATCACGTAGGACTTTGTGCAAGAATTAGATCCACCTAGTCGTTCCCGAGTAGCTCTTTAAGTTTCTTCAGCGCTAATTTTTGGGACTTGAAGAGACTTGTCTCTTTTTCCATCCTTTTAAAGTAACAACCTATATAATTATCTTAGTGTAGATTTAATAATAAATGCTACTAAGTGTAGCGGATTAACGGTAGTGTGTTGGTCAGAGGAAGACTTTTAGACTCGTAGAGTCTCTTAGCGTATCATACTAAACGGGTGTAAGCTTAAAGGGTCTCAAGTCTTGCAGACTTGGTGAAACTTGTCTATAACTTTCTTTACAAGCTCTTGAGCATCTAGACTGGTTCCGGGGACTACGACTCCAAGGAATCACATGTCACTAATGTCCTAGAGTACTTAACCTAATCTAATGATCAAAGGGGAACTGAATGTTTTTGCTGATTGATAGCGATCGCAAACCTTACTTACGTTGTTTCTATTGAAAAAGTACTATTAAATCGAATAGTCTTCTTCGTAGTTTTTCTTGCATACCATACCAGAACTACGTCGCCTCTAAAAAGACCCCATTACGATAGTTATCCTCTACCCATAACCGATAGGGTAAGTTTAAATAAGAATTACCTGTGTGCAGTACCTGTTAGACATGTGACACCAGCATGAGAGACGCGCATCATAGAGAGTGTGTGCCCAATACAACATGAAAGCTGAATCGGGGTGGGGTGCGTACCCCAAAAGGATGCGAACGCAGATCCTTTCTTTAATTACTGTCGCTGAGCGATCAAATGCCTTTTGCCCACCCATCATCTTCACCCCACTCGTCGGACGCGCCCACAGTAATTACTTCATCATCCATCTCAGCCGCGAACAATGCAGACGCCTCGGCTGCAGTCGGCAGCGACGACATTGAAGTTATACCTGCTGCTGTTCCAGATTGAAAAACAAGGGCAGCACTAGTATCGGCAGGCAGCGGTCCAACTGCTGCAGTCTTTTGGAATGTCGGTACCATATTAAATTGCTGCAAAATAATAAAGTTACGTCAGTTGTAACCCGAGGGCATCGCATAACGTTATCCAATACTTGTACGTACACTGAAAAGGTCATCGGGGGCACTCTTACTTTCCCTTTCGGTGCTAGCGGCAGAACTGCGGCTGCTAGCTGGTGCCATGTGCTCCTCCTCCATTACGACCTCAAATGAGTCACTCGAGCTGTTAGATTCGACACTTTCAAGTGGCGAGTCACTTATGTCCGCAATAGCACTCTCCCGGACTTTCGGTACGTGCTGCTGACGCGGAGGAGACAGAAGTTGATTGAGCGTGAATGGACGGATGTCACTAACCGGCTCTGCTATCGAGCGGCGTGGAGTACTCGGTGCTGAAGCGAACGGATTCAGTTGCGTTTGCGTTGAATTACTTTCCCAGTCATCCCAACCGTCCCGGTCATTCACGAAAGTGTCCTCTTCAAAATCATCGCAGTACTCATCGTCGTCTTCATGACCGCGGCTAAAAGGTTGCTCATGTGGTACTTGCGTGTAGTGCATTTTCATTCCCTTGTTCCCCCTTCGTCCAGGCACACCAGAGCTAGAGAATGCACTTAAACGCCTCTTCCGTCCCCAGACAAAGAGAAATATGCAGCATATACCTGCTAGCGCTACCAGTACTAACGGATTGCCGCCTTGACTCAAATGTCCGGGTCGCGATGTTTGCATAGCTTCATTAGTTACTGCGTCTGAGAGCATAGCTGAGTCTTCTGTGCGTGATGAAGGTTTGTTCGTGAACGCCACAATCGGAGCAGGGTCTGTAGATTGATGCAAAACTTCCGTCGGTCTGGAACTGTTGTCTTCCTCTGGTTCCATGTTTGTCGCTCCTTCTATAACTGCAGATTTTTCGTTCTCCCCACTCTCAGGCACGTCGTCTTTACCAGTTGTCGACTCGGTTGCTGGAACTCTCGCAGCACCCATCGCTTCATCTGATTCAATCTCAGAAACCTCCACTTCCATAGAAGCAGAAGAGTATTCTGAGATTTGATTCACCGGTACTGGAGTCATCGCGTCCAGCTTCTTCTTCTCATCTGCTACGTCCGCAGCTAGCAGCCCATCATTCTCCAGCTTGACCTCCGTGGCCTCTTCGCGTATTGGTTCCTTATCACCCACAGTCACCTTCACGTCAAACTTTCCACTTCCATCCTCACTACCCATTGAACGATCCATGTGTGCACTTTCCTCCACGCTGTCAGTGGCGTCGCCACCTCCAAAACTGCTTTCGCTTGTAGTGGTCGGCAGTCTTTCGAAGCCAGCAATGGCTCGGCTCCTGCTTCTCAATCAACTGCTAAAATTCGATCTTTTATTCGATTTTGGAGGATTTAGAGATTTCGAAAACAGGCTTCTTTTTATTCGACTTTTAATCATGAACGGGGAGGTGGATGAGGAGCTGCGACGTGGACTGCTGCCGCCAAATGACGACCACGGTGATGCACCGACGCGCTTGACTACACGCAGACGAAGAAATGAAAAATCGTCTTTGAATGACGTGGACCGAATCGTGCTGTCACCCTGGGAGAAGTGGACAACTCATGGTCGCTTTCCGTTCAAGCTCGTGCTGCATGTCGCACTGTTGCTGCTGACGTTTACTCAGATGCAGCTGTTCGACGCGCAGAATGCTGCCTACATGCGTGCTTCGTACCTCAACTGGTGCGTCTTGCTTCGCTTTTTGACTGGGTAAATGCACCCATAGATATCAGATATTGTGCTCATGATCCTGTTGGTGACATGAATGACCAGGGCATATTTCTTCCTTCCTCCTGCTGCAGACATCGGTGTCGTGTGCGTACCGTTTGCACACTACTTGCTCTAATTTTGTTTACGATACCTACTGATGTACACGTCATATATGCCGACTAGATCTCGATTCCAGCGAGACTTTTACACGATCAACCGCACGATGGCGGCGGTGCACTATTTGCGCGATTCCTACTTCTCCATTGGCAATGTCTCTGTGGCCAATTACGAGTACCTCCACACCTATTCGGGCAATATTCAGCCTATTAAAGTGTTAGTGAGTCGTATGCTACCTCACGGAGAGCTGGAAACACGGGATTATCTTGTCTCACAGAACGACGAGAGTGTAGGCCCCTTCGATCCAAAAATGACTATATGGCAGAAGAAGCACTTGTTTGGGTCACTGCGTGGCATCAAATTCTCATTCCTACTACGAGATCGTCAGTTTGGGAATTTTTATGAGGAGTGTTTTGAGTGGCACGTGAATGTGGGCTTTGAAGTCGTCAGAGGCGCTCAAATTCATGTTCAGCTCGAAGATATCGATGTGCTGCGCTGTGCCAGCGTGCATCCGCGTTCGTTCTGGGCTGCAGCTATGCAGAGCTTTGTTTGGATGCATGCGATAGTCGCGGTGGTTTCGCTCTTGTACATGGCGCTCAGTCTCAAGGCTCTACGGCAGTCATTTTTTGTGTAGGTATTTAGTATATGTCAGGAAGTTGTCTGGATGATCTGACTTGCAAATGCACTGGTTATTCTATGCCTGTAGTATGGTTCAAGCGCGAAGCACTCTGTCAAAACATGCCGGAGACGATCGACGAATGAGTGATAAAGAGCTGGGTGGTGCAGCGATTAATGATAATGACGACGGCAGATCGCAGCTTTACGCGAAGACACGCTGCAAATGCAAAATAGCGTGGACGGAAATTCCGTGTACACTGAGGCTCGAACTTTTTAACAACTTGTACGTGAAGCCATTCTTGACACACGGGTAGATGTGCTGTATCTCATCGGTCTCGTGTTGCTTGACACAGACAGTTGCTAGTTTTTACCTCGCTAGTGCTACTACTTGCAAGCACCATGTGGAGCTTACTGATTTTGGAAGCTCATATGCCAATTCGATTTTGGCATCGGTTACTCCATGCAACAGCACTGCTGCTACTTTGGAGTTGTCTCGTCGGGTACCTTGAGCACAATCAGCACATCTTTTCGATTGTGTTGACGCTGAAGTGGGGAACGCCACGTGTGCTGCAATTTTTACTGGGGGCATCTCCAATATTCATTGGGTATGCTCTTTTCGGAACGATGTACTTCGGAAACAGGATCGAGAGCTTTGGCACGCTAAGCAATTCGATGATTACTTTGTTTTCGCTGATGAATGGCGATGTTATCATGGATACGTTTGATGCGATGGAGATCCATCATTTTATTGTATCAGGAAAAGTGTACCTGTACTCTTTTACGTCGCTATTTATGTACGTGGTCCTGAACATATTCATTGCCATCGTCGAAGAGGCTTTTTTCGCTACACAATTAACTCGCCGCCGGCTCAGGGATTATCTTTCCGATCAACGCATGTCTCGGTCAACATAGCGGGGAAGCGATATGTTTTAGCAGGCAATGTTGTACCTACCTGCGGCTTACAGACCGGAGCGCTTGCTGTTGCTTAAGCCAAATGAAGATTTTTTCAACCTTGTGGTTGCTTTTGACGCGGGTTTAGCCATGCAGCTCGAGTCTGACATGAAGACACATCTCTATCATCTTCGTACCAGCACGGTGCATCATTGCTGACAAGGACTCGCGACATGGTGCTGTGGCAGTGTTAGAAACGCTAAAGTTGGGTATCTTCGCTAGCGGGATTGATCGTTTCACGCTAGGGTCATGATTCTCAGCTGTGTCGTCCATATGCTCTTCGATCTTGGCCAACAAAAGTGTCTCCTCCGCCTGTAGACGGACATCTTCTCTGGATCGTGTCGTCGAACAGCTGCACCTTGCACGGGTGCATGAAGCAGTCAACATACGTGCGGTCGACTTTTGGGATAGTCAGGCGTACCACATCTGATCAGGAGGCTGCACGATCTCGTTTGATTCATAATACTTGGCCGGTGAGCAATTTTATCGATGACCGGGAAATTATAGTGGAAAAACGTAAAACGCCTATTGAGCAACCTACCGATGAAAGGTGTACAACTTTACCGCCAAAATATGTTAGTGACACCGAAGAAAAGAATGTGTATCTCCGAAATTATCGAGTTGAAAATGTTGATTCATGATGCGTCTTGATCTGCACTTGTGCAGACGTAGTTAGAAGTGAAAGTTAAACATTGCAAGCATTAATTTTTTCCTTTGTCAATGCTACAACATGCACCGGAAAAGCACTGCAACTTGACCTCTTATCTGTCCGATGGAATTTGTCCTTACTGCCCATCTCATACCTGGTCCCACGTCGCAACCGTGTCGTCTGGTCCCAACAGTCAGATCGCCACGTCGCCGACTCATCTGTCAAGTGGCTGACCTGTCCTGTAACGGGGTGAATCGTTACATAACAATTTATAAGAAATTGTTAATAGAATATAACTATAAGAGTTATATTCTCAGAATATTGTCATAAGGACAAATATTCTGTAGCACTTACGAGTAGTTCCTAATTGGTTGATATAGGCCATTATATCAACCAACGAAGACGCGCCACGACAGACGCACGCAATGAGTGGTGAGCAGATAACTGATTTACACATTTGTATTTAGACATAGTTAGATGAAGATAAATAGTGATTTATTGCAGACATTAACTATTATAAATACAGTTCTACTTTTTATGTTAACCAAGTACTCGCTTCTTCTTACCGTCTTCCTCTGCACGTACGAGTGTACGTGAAGTAACGAGGCACCGCCTTATTCTGTCATCAGAATAAGTAGCTTGTACTGTCACCAGTACAAGCTTCAGGGTGCCCCGTTACACCTGGTAGCACTTCGTAGTCCGTCCAAGGACCGCGTTCACATCCAACATGAATATGTTGGATGATGAAGATGACCAAAGCTTTCACGCTACGCGTGACGGCTACTCCCATTTGAGCGATGTCGAATGGGATGCGGTTGAACGAATGGGTTCGACCATGGGCATCCATGCTGTTAGCGTCATGCTAGAGGCTCTCAATAGAGATGCCCAACATGCTACTATCGCCAAGTTCATTCAAAATGAACTTGACGCCGAACGCGAGAAAGTAGCCTTGCTTCACCAACAAGGTTCTCAACAAGCAGAGTTGTTGAGAGAACAGGGTGCTCAACAGTTTGAACTATTGAGACAGCAGGCTGCTGCTGGTGGGTCGATGCACTCGCGTCGACCCGAGACTTTGAAGATTGACATCTCCAAGTGTAGGGGGGTCGAAGAAGACTCCCTCTTGAGATGGTTCGTCGAATTGGATGACGCCATAAGGGCGCGTCGCATCGACGACGGGGATTTGCAAGTTGCATTTGCCCAGTCAAATCTGGCAGGACGTGCCAAGACTTGGGCACTGGGGCTCAAGTTGCACGACCCATATGCGTTTGGGTCGTTGGAAGTCTTCAAATCGCGGCTCAGACAAACGTTTGAACCGCCTAGAGCTGAGTTCAGGGCTCGAACCGAACTTTTGAAGCTCAAGCAGGGTAAGCGTGATGTGCACGCTTACGCTCAACATATACGACATCTCACGAGTTGTATAAGTTCCAATCCGGTGGATGAACACACGTTGGTTTCGGTGTTCATGCAGGGTCTTGCGGATGGTCCCGTCAAGACTCACCTGTCCCGGCTTGAACTAGATTCACTAAAACAAGCCATTTCCATTGCGGAGCAGGAAGACTTCAGTCTGAGACAGGCTCGCGCCAGCTCGATATCATATCGTCAACCGAGACGATATGACAGCGGAGGTCCAGAGCCGATGGAACTCTGTTATGTAGAGAGCGAGAAGGCTCGCTCTACAGGCTACAAGAAGTTGCAGAGATGCAACAGATGTCAGAAGACAGGACACTACGCTTACGAGTGTAGTGCCCCTCGTCCAGTGTCTCGCGATACTGGGCGTAGTGACCGTCCACCCATGAGAAAGGGGCAGGGACGAGGGTCCGCAGTTGGTGCAAAGACGCAACAACGGGATGGACCGTCAAAAAACGGACAGGATCAGTAGGTGCGGAGCACCCTACTGGTTCAGCAACGTCAAGAGAATTTGTAGGCCTCTTGATGAAGGTTGCTCCCAACACACAGACGTTGTGCGTTGCTGCTCTAGGTAATGAGGTCTCACTCATTACCTTGAAACTCGAAGTGACGAATAAGTTGTCCCTTCGAGCTCTAGTCGATTGTGGGGCGTCCAACAATTTTGTGCGACGCCAATCGCTAGAAGATGGTCACTTTAAATTCAGTGAATGTGACACACCTCCTACGAGGATGACGGTACGTCTTGCGACAGGCGCATCCGTAACCGTCATGAAGCGTATAGTGAAGATCCACTATACGCTAGAAGATACCCAATATGACGATGACTTTATCGTATTGGATTTGGATGACAAATTTGATGTCATCCTTGGAATACCGTGGCTCAGAAGGTACGAACCACGAGTAAACTGGCAACATCGAACAGTAACGATGCCTGCCGCTTGTTCATCAGATGGCCATCTGATGAACGTTTTGGAGCGTCCACAAGCGTGTGGATGTACTACGAGTGAGTGCGATGGCCTCACTTGTGGTACGGTCGTTAGTACGACTGCACAAAACCTTAGTGTACCAAACGGATACACTTCGGAGCAAAGTTCCGGCGGCTGTGAGGAAACACAGGCTGCGCCGAAGGTCCACCACTCGAATAAGTCGGGTGGACTGGGACAAAGATGTATCCCTAGCGGGGAACATCTAGAAGAGAAACAATCGATCGCTCAGGTTAAGCGAAACGATAATCCTAGATCGACTGGAGAGTCTTTCGTAGAGGATCTCGCTGTGGTTGCGCAACCCCAGCTAGAGGAAGTAAAGGGAATAAGTCCCAAGATTACAAATACGGCGGAAATAAGTTCCCCGAAACCCGCGGGAATAAGTCCCCGGGAAGACGAAGGAATAAGTCCTTCGAAGCCTGAGGGAATAAGTCCCCAGGAAATGACAGAGACATTGAATGTCATAGTCAATAACGGATCAAGTGTAGGCGCTTATACACTTGATCTGATTGCGCCTCCGAAGTTTACTTCGGAGATCACTCAGTTGCCAACGCTCGAACATAAAAGGTTCTTGCGTGATCTGCGTAGTGGCAAAGTCAAGCAGATCTGCATACTCGTCGCTGACGACGAGTGTGTAACCGACATAAGGTCAGCAACAGTGTTTACTGAGAACGAGAGAGTTCTCAGTAGTTCATCTATGGACGAGAGTGTCCTAGATGAAAAGACACGAATTGAGCGATATGACTCCCAATCGTGGGAATCGCTCAAGAAAAATCCTCTCTATGAAGATTTGGTTGAATTCAAGGATGTATTCCCTGAAACTGTTCCGTGCGAATTACCGAAGGATAAAGGTATTCGACACGAGGTCGAGCTTAAACCAGGCTCGAAGTACTGTGTCATGAAGCAGTGGCCACTGCCTCGTGAACAAGTACTTGCGATCGACAAGTTCTTTGCCGATCGTTTAGCTGCGGGCCATGTGAGGGAATCAACTTCCCCACATAGCTCTCCGACCTTCTGTGTGCGAAAAGCAACAGGAGGGTGGCGGATAGTGCACGCGTTCAACAAATTGAACGCTGCAACGGTACCGGCTCAGACGCCGATACCGAGGAAGGACGTAATCATTGATGGTATGTCAAAGAGTACCATCTTTTCGTCCATGGATTTGATGGATGGCTTCTATCAAATCCTAATGCGGGAACGGGATATACCCTATACCGCAGTTGGCACGCCTAGCGGCATGCTCTGGGAATGGCTAGTAATGCCACAAGGGCTTAGTAATGCCCCTGCCACGTTCAACAGATGTGTATCACATCTGTTGAGACCAGTACGAGAGTTCGCGCCGAGTTATTTCGATGACGTATTCATCCATAGTCGAGCTATGGATGGAAAGTCGGACGTTGAGGTTCACAAGTACCACGTCCGACAAGTTCTTACAATCATGCGAAAGCATCAATTGTATGCAAACCTCAAGAAGTGTATATTTGCAGCAAGCGAAATACCACTTCTTGGGTGCATCGTTGGTAAGAACGGTGTACGTCCTGATCCCGAAAAGATCAAGGCGATCACCGACTGGCCCGTGCCGGTCGATGTCAAAGGTCTTCGAAAATTCCTTAGGCTAGCGGCGTATTTGCATAAGTATTCACGCAATTACGCCGAGATGACTGTACACCTCTCTCGTTTGTTGAAAAAGAACGAGAGGTGGTTATGGAACGCTGAATGTCAACGCTCCTTTGAGGGTATCAAGCAGAGCTTGATACAATCCCCAGTCCTAGCAATAGCCGATCAGGACAGGCCATTTCATGTGGTCTGTGATGCCAGCGATTTCGCAATCGGCTGTGCATTAATGCAGTACGACCTTGAAGGCGTTGAACGCGTCGTCTGCTATCAGTCGCGTCAGCTGCAACCAGCTGAGCGGAACTATCCAGTGCATGACAAGGAACTCCTTGCCATGAAGTATGCACTCGCGAAGTTCAGAGTCTATCTATTAGGAGATAGACCCTTCGTTGTTTACACTGACCATGCGTCCTTACGCACGGCAGTGAACAGCCCGCACCTTTCACAACGAATGGCGCGGTGGTTGTCATTCTTTGCAGAATACAACTTTACGGTCGAGTACAAACCAGGACGACTTAATGTCGTCGCTGATGCACTCTCACGTCGTCCCGACTTTGAAACAGTCGCGAAACCCAACAGTGAGACAGTCACTGTTGCGGTTATGACGTCCTCAGTTCCATCTACAACGTTGTATGATGATGTGAGGCGGGCATACGCCCAAGATGGTGAGATAGTGAAGTTGTTGTCACATCTCTCCCAACCATCTCGAGAATCGTTGAAACGATTGTCGTCTG